TAATGAATTGTTATTTTTGAGATCCAAATCATGGTTCAGATGCAATTTTTTTTTTAAAGTTTTGAGTATTTTTTCCTGTACCATAGGCTATAACTCATTGGTAAACATTCAGAGTCTTAAAATATTCACTTTTGCTTACTCTTCCTATTGAAGTAATAAGAGCATAGAGAGAATAAAATGGTCACCTGAACAGATCAAAAGTTAAACAAAAGAATACAGATATTAAGAAATGTTCACTGAAATAACTGTTTTGCTAATAATCTGTTAGGCCCTAAGTTTCCCAGCCTTAAAACAGAATGACCTTGTTAAGCAAACTTCAAAAACAAAGAGAACAAATAGAAATGTGTTTTGTGAATATCCATGCGGGAGTCTGGCATGGGTGTTTTAAAAAAAATTTACGCTCATCCAAAAGCCTAAAATAAAATGCTAGCTGGTAGGTAGGACAGGAGCCCTGACCTTTTCCTGATATGGATTTTTCTTTTCCCACTAGAGGGAGCTGCTGCTGGTAGTGGGAGGGGAAAAGGAAAGGTTAACAACCTGGAGAGCCAGACAGCGCGAGAGGCTTTATCAGTAAGCTAACGCTTCCAGAGCTCCCAGATAAGGAGTCGGATCCATGGTGACTTAGATGGCCCTATTTAGGTCATGAGGTTCAACTGATTACTTTGGAGGGTGTTTTTTTTTTTTCTTTTCGGTTTGGCTCCGTGGAAATTTGTTTATGGCATCTCTACCTAGTGATAAACAGCACAGTAAAAGGAAATGAAAACTCCACAGAGGAATGGCACATGGTCACAACTAGTGATGTTTATTTAGTAAACCCAAATTTTCTGAACACATAAAACTGAGAAAAATTTAATACATTTTGACTTTCAATTTACTTATTTAATAGCATTGGATTTCTGGTCTTATATGTTTTGTTTAATCCAGCTCAGAGCACTTCTATATTCAGTCTAACAGACGATAGTAATTATTATTTTTGCCCCTCCCCCAGCAATTTATTTGTCCACTTACAGGAGGTCACAGCTCAGGTGAGGTCTGACTACACCCCATGCCCACAAGGTCCAAACAAGGGGTTCTCTGCCTAGAGCATGAGGCTGTCTGGGCTACCAGCACTTGCTGGCAGGGGACAGGATGGAAGGTGGTCAGACCTCATCTGAAGCACCAACCGTCCCCATGTGCTGTCCTCATAAGCTATGGGGAAGACAGTATGCACACAGCTGTCCTCCACCTCACGAAATATATTTGTAGAAATGGAAACAAGGTGGGGTAGCTGTAGACACACTAGCTTGATCTGCTGCATCCAGGTTTCTAAGCATCCATGTAGCAGTTCATGTAGACTCATGCACTGTTATGCACGCCTACTCCAAATTAATTGTTTGAAGTAATTGAAATATCAACAGCCTTAGAGATGGCCATAATTTCTAAACATCTAATAAAACCTCAGGATTTTAAAGCCACCTAGGTTTCTCTCAAAACTAAATATTTTAAATGATCAGCTTTTATCACTAGCTTCCCTACTCAACCCAATGGTTTAGTTAAGCGGTTTAGTTTATAATTAGCTCTACAAAACACAAAATTACTCCTATATAATAGCGATGAATATCTAGGAAAATATATATAGTACTGTGCTCTAAATCTGTCAACATTGAAATGTTCATTAATTATATGTAAGGGAAAAACCCAAAGTAAACACTGACTTAAAGCAATCGATTAAGAATATTGAAAACACAGTTGAAGCTCAGTGTGGTAGCACAGGCCTGCAATGCCTGCCCAGGAGTTCAAGGCTAGGCTAGGCAACATAGCAAAATCCTGCCTCTTTCTAAAAATAAATAAATAAATAAGGTCCGGACAGTTTATTTATACAAGGGAATAGCATTCAGTCATAAGAATGAAGTACATGCTACAACATGCATGAAACTTGAACACATGCTAGCGTAAGACATAAAAGGTCATATATTATATGATTCTATTGGTATAAAATGTCTGGAATAGGCAAATTCATAGAGACAGAAAGTAGATTAGTGGTTGCCAGGGGCCAGGAGGAGGGGTAATATGGAGGGGTGACTGCTAACAGGTCTCTAAGGACCCTAGGAACCTCTAAGGCCTGAAACTATTCTACCATAAATCTGTTAGATTCCTTTGTTGCTGTCCCATTCAAAAGATGCCCACCATAGAGTGTTGTTACTCTGTGAGAGATTTAAGGAAGATGGCATAGAAGCAAAAGAAACCCAGAAAATCAAAATATTTGGTTTCCACAAACATGCTGATGCCTACTAAACTGGTTTAAAAATAAAGAAAAGCATGGAGTGCTAACAAGTAACTAGACCCTCAAGAATACCCTGTACATATGGATTATTTTAAAAAGGACTTCAGGTAAATAAGTTTGGAGCTTATGCAAAACTGTTACTTCATAGCTCATTCCAATCTATTCTAGTGAAACTACAGTGTAGTTAACACTCTTCCGCCTAGCATCAAATGAGAACAAGTACCCAACAGCAGTCAACACACTGACTACACCACAGTGAATAGGTACATACATACAAATTTAAGCTCAACAACTAGCCTGCTTTTACTTCACTTGTTATTGATTATACCCTGTTCATTTCAGTTCTGAACATGAAATTATTTTCAGAATTTGAACTTGGGACATGCATGGTTGAGCACTCTATAGCTTCTCTTTGATGATATTAATAATTCCAAACCACAACGACAAGGAAGTGGGATAGTTTACCTCAAAACATGTCTGAGGAAACAGGCCACCCTATGTTATCGCCATCAAATATTTACAACTATCTTTATGTGAGTACTCTGTAACACACTGGACAACCAACACATTAAAGAAATGGACATTAAAATCACACCTGCACAGAAGTAAGGACCTTTAAATGCCAACTTAAGTGTGTATTAACTCCCACTAGTCAAGCCCTTCAGACTTTCTCCCGCAATTGGCTTACTCATCACACCACTTCATCAAGCAAAGCCATACACTACACCAAGTGTCTGGAAAAGTGGGTTAGCAATTTGGTAAGATAAAATGCAGAACACGTAAAATATGCTGGTCATTTAAACTACTTTAAAACCAATATGACTACACTGTGAATTTTAAGTGGTTATTTTGTTACCTAAATATCCAATTTCAAACATTATCCTCAATTCTGTAAATTCATCAATAACTAAAATCCCCTACCTTACTCCATTCCTATTAAGGGAAAGCCATGGCTTTTTGTTTCCAACATGAACAATGTGTAATCACTCTGAGCCATCAAAGCACACGAAAGATGTCTTTTGATACTCATTAAGCACTAAAGTAGTCATGTTTCATTTAAACATACAGCTCCTGCTAAACTCAAACTACAAGACACTCTGAATCCAGTGCCTGTTAACCACTTATTAGATTTGGCAGCACCCTGATCCCTTTGCTCAGGACTCTCTGAATCACAGATCCATCCAGCTTTAGTTGTCTCATCTTGGAGCTTTCACTAGACACAACCAAACCAGCTTTTCAGTCCAGCCTTTTCATCTTCTATTTTATTCATTCCTCTGAATTTTAACATTCTTTTAATACTCAAGGGTCACCATATTTTGAGCCTCCATCCAATTCTGAACATTTATGAAATAGCTTTAAAATAATCATGGGGGAATAGCGCTACCACTTAAATTTAGCATTAAATTTAGTCAACACAGGTCTCAGAGTAACTATTTCAGGATTATTCTCAATTTATTTAGTGTCCCACCAATTTAGCTCGGTAGCATATGAATATAGTAATAAGATACCGACATCAAAAAACCAGCAAATACTGACACACCAGATACTGATATAATAGTCTTTCCATAGTTCTAAAGCAAAAAGCAAAGATTTTACAAAATGAAGATAAGATTCATTTTGCCCTAGACGGTTTTTCTGGCTTTCTTTAAAGTCAATATTAAAATACTAAAATAAAAACCGCTTTCTAGAATCCTTTTCACGGAGAAAATGACATACATTTCCATAAAGAAAAAAGCATATCGAGGCTTAAAATTAAACTATCCGATTTTATTAATTCAGTGGCAAGCGTCCACAGTAGTGTAAACTAACCCAATCTATTTACAAAGAGCCAAATACTTCAGAAAGAAACAAAAAAGGAAAGACGCTTTCCCAAAACGTAAAGGACTAAAAAGATCAACTAAGATTCACAGGCCCTTTCCACTAGGCACTGCTGGGGGTTGAAAAAGCGAGGAATTCGCTGGCAACGCCGGTGACAGGCTCCAACTGACGCTCAGAGCCTGCACACGCGAGCCCTACGTGCAACACCAAGTCCCGCCCAGCAGCAGGCGACGCCTCGGGGGGGAGCGGGACTGCCGGGGCAGGGTCCAGCCGGGTGCTAGGTGGGTGGGGAGCAAAGGGCCAGGAGGCGCCCCCGCCCCCGCCGCCCCCCTTCTGGAAGGTGCCTCCCGAGGGCAGTTGGGAGTCCAGGGAAGTTGGGGGCGGGGCGGAGAGCGCGCGCCAGCGGCGCCCCCCAGAGGACAGCGGGGGGAAAGCTGCGCCGGGCGGCGGCGTGCGCCCGGAGGCCGAGGTCCCGAGCCCGTGCGGGCCGCTGCCCACCCCGCCAACGTCCACCCGCGTCCCGCCCGGGCCCCGGCGCGCGGCGGCGTGGGGCGGCCGCCGTAACGGGCCGGCGGGCGAGTCCGTTGGTTCGAGCTCAGCGGGGCGGGAGCGCCGGCCCCTCCCCCGCCGCGCCTGCCCGTCCCCGCCCCGCGCGGCGCTTCCCCCTCTCGGAGAAACTACGCCATTGCGGCCTAGCCGGGCGGCGCCGCCCCTCCCCCGCGCGGGCCGGCCGCCATCTTCGCGGCCCGCCGCCCGCCGCCGCCGCCCGCCGCGCCCCCGCCGCCGCACGGCCCGCCATCTTTTGGGGCCGCCATACTTGCCCTGGCGAAGAAGATGGCGGCGCCCATCACACACATAAAACATGGCTTCCCTTCAAAACAAAAACATCCCGGGGCCGGGGCGCGCGGCCGGCGCTCACCTGAGGACCACATGGTGACCGAGAACTCGCCCTCCAGGGTCTTGATCTGCACCTGCTTCTGTTCCCACTTCTTGTTGCCCGGGTCGGCGCCGCCGCCGCCCGCCGCGCCGGCCCCGCCGCTGAGGTAACTCTTCTTGCCGCTCTTCTTGCCGCCGCCCTTCTTGACGCGGCCGCCGCCCGACGACGACGAGCCGCCGCCGCCGCTCTTGCCGGCCGCCGCCACGGTGACCAGCGTCTGCTCGATGTAGTCGTCGTCGCCGCCGGCCGGCGCGGGAACCGGGATGAGGATCTGGTCCTCGAAGCCGTCCTCGGCGCGCAGCCCGTCCGAGTCGTCGCCGCCCACCACCTCCTCGCGCGTCTGCACCAGGATCACCTCCTGGTGGTGGTGCACCTGGGTCGGGTCGTCGGTGACGAGCGGCTGCAGCGCGATCATGGGCGGGTGGTGGTGGTGATGATGGTGGTGGTGGTGGTGGCCGGCGTGCCCGTGGCCGCCCCCGCCGCCGTGGTCGCCACCGCCGCCGTCCTCATCGTCGTCCTCCTCCTCTTCCTCCTCGCCCACCACCGTGGTCTCGATGGTCTCCACCGGGATGGTCTCCACCTCGATCTCGTGCAGCTCCACGATCTCGGCCGGCATCTCCGAGCCGTCCGTGGCGATGTAGAGGGTGTCGCCCGAGGCCATGGCTGAGGGCTCCGCCGCCACGGCCGCGGCGGCCTCGGCTCCTCGGCTGCGGGCGGGCGGGCGAGGAGGCGGCCGGCCGTGGGGAAGGAAGGCACAGGGAGGAAGGCGGCGAGCGGGCGGGGGGAGAGGGGGCGGGCGGCCGGGGGGGAAGGGGCGGGCGCGGCGGCCGCGGCGGCGGGGCTTCCCCGCCTCCCTCGCCTCGGTGCGCCCCGCGCTCGCTCGGCCGCTGCTCGTCCCGGCTCCCCGCCTCCCCTCGCCTCGCCTCGCCTCAGCTGCCCGCCCTGGCCGCGCCTCCTCCCGCCCTCCGGACCGGCGCTCCGCTTCCCCCTTCCTCCTGCGCCTCCGCCTCCTTCCACACAAATACCAACTCCTCAACCCGAGCCCAGATCTCGCCGCCGCCGCCGCCGCCACACTCCTCTCGGGCTCTGCCTCGCGAGACTTCCGCGCTGGCCTCAGCCCGCCCCACCTCGCTCCCACTCGCTGGCTTGCCCTCTCGCTCCTCCCTCTCTGCCAATGGATCTGCTCTGCTCGCCGCCGCGGCCCCGCCCACTCACCCGGGCTCCTCCCGGATTGGGGCCGGTGGGACAGGGGGTGGGGCGGCCCTCACGCGCGCAGGCTGGCCCGCGGCGCGTGACGTCAGCGCGTCGCCGCCGCCGGCTCCCGCTGCTCCGTGTCGCGCGGCTCCCTCCCTCCGCGGTGCAACAGCCACAAAACCCGCCGCCTCAGGCCCTGGCCGGACTCGGGAGTGGGGCGTCGCCGTCGCAGCCGCCGCTTCGGGAGCCGGTGAGCGGTCCGCGCTGACCCGGGCGCCACGGGGGCGGGGGACTGAGCGGAAGGGAGGGAGTGGCCTGCCGAGCGCCGGGCTGAGGTCGGTGGGCGGCCCGGGGGCCGTGCGGGGAGCGGCCGGCGAGCGCGGGGCGGCCCCGTCGCCCCAATAAAGTCTGCTTTGACGAGAAACGCCTGTGCTTCGTTTTTCGCGTCGGGCGACGTTTGCTCTAGGCGCCTGGCTTCGGGCGGGCGATGGCCGCGGGGTGAGCGTGGAGGGCCAGGCGAACAAAGACGGCTGGCGGGCAGCGGAGGACCGTGTCCGCCGGCGCCGGCGTCCCGCATCTCGCCGCGAGCGCCCGGCGTGGTCCCGGGGCCGAGTGCGAGTGGGCGGTGCGCGGGGTGGGGCGGCTGCGGCTCGGCGGAAGCGCCGCGCGGAGCTCGGGTCCACCGTTGGGAGGATGTCCGTTATTCTTTTGTGACCCGCGGAAACCTGAGACGGAGCCGTTGAGTGCCTGTTTCCCCCGTAGATCTTTAGAGCTCCAGGGTCCTGGCGGCTCTTGTCTTGTGGCCTTGCTGTTTGTAGCTTTCTAAATTTTCCTTCCGAGCTTCCCTTTCTTCGCTGTCCAGCCAGTCTTTGTTTTCTTTTCCCACCGTCTTCACCTAGTTCTCACTCTGTAGTTGCTCCTCCTTTTACCCAGCAGGTTTTGCATTTCTTTCAATCATTGACAATTCTACATTTTTTTTTTCTATGTTCTCCATTATTCTTACACAGAGCCTAAATTTTTTTCTGGCACGAATTGGCACGTTAAGCTTTCCTGTATAAGGTATATTGCAGTGAGGTGTTTTTGCTCTTATCCATTCTTTTGGTCGATCTGACAGTTTGTTTAAAGCAAGACATATAAAGATTTTCTGGTTTTAAGAAAAACCATGACATTGAAAAGTTGGAAAGGTGTGTCTGTGTTGTCCTCATTTGGCCAATTTAACACCCATGTGAGTTTGTTGTTGAATATTCTCAACAATTTACTCTTTTTTTGAATAATGTTCATTTATTTGAAGCTGTGGGTCTTTTGAACTGTAATACATTAATCTGAGATCCAACTTGTTAAAACAAGCTGCCCTATTATTGGAAACATATTAAGGGAAAGTTTATATATTCTAACTAAAAGGTGACTTTATAGATGCAATTCACTCTCTACTTCTAAGTGGCATTGGACTTGATTTTTGAGACTATTAGTGTAAATAGTGAAAAATTAAATCATTTTCTCTTTGGACTTTAAAACCTAAGTAATTCCCCTGAGAGTGCTGTATCCACATGGTTTGGCAAAGTCAAATCTGTTGAATTAAATCATTTCTGGCTTTATTGCTTATAAACCCGGCATAAATATTTCATAAATGAAAACCAGTTGTGGGAGAATTTTTATGTGGCTTAATGCTTTTTAATTCCACGTTCTCCACTCGAGTAATTGATGGAGGAATGTCTTTGCAAGTAGTTGATACTTTCCCATAAATACCAAATGAGCAAGAGAAGTAGGGGAAGTGCTCATTAGGCAGCCTGGTTCTGAGTCATAGATCAGTATAGCCAAAAAGAGTAAAACTGTTGGGAAGGGTGGCAGGTCAGAAAGCTCTAAGATGCTCCCTAATGCTATCCTAGCACCTGCTCCAGAAATAGTTTTTGAAACTTGCCCCAGAGCAGGTGACCTCTGTTAGTCAGGCTTTAAGTTTTCTGCAGTGGGAGATATTCTCATCTTCCACTCTTAGCTATGGGTATCTTATGACTAGACATGCAAAGACATTGTGTTGTGTTGGCTCTAGCCTGCTTGCACTTGCTGCTAAAGGTGAAAATCAATTTAAAAGGACAGATTAAATTGCAGTTTCAAAACCATGGGATTCTAAGGGTGGTTTCACTGAATTCTGTTCTGTTTAGACAAAATATATTGGACCAACGAGTGTTCCTTCTGAACTCCTAGTGTCCCTTTACGTTTGCAACAAGAGAAATGATTATTGTCAATTAAACTGTTATTTCTCTTACACCAATGTTTGCATGCTGTTATGCTCCCACCTATCTGGGCAAAGGCCATGGCTGTATCTGTCAGCTTAATGACTCACACATGCTTTTTGATTCATGCAACAAACAAAATGAAGTTTAAAAACACCATGATGGGAGTTCTTTGTGATAGTGCTTGACCATTTCTTTTTTCTTTTTTTGTCTTTTTTTTTTTTGAGACAGAGTCTCACTTTGTTGACCGGACTAGAGTGCCATGGTGTCAGCCTAGCTCACAGCAACCTCAAACTCCTGGGCTCAAGCAATCCTACTGCCCCGGCCTCCCAAGTAGCTGGGACTACAGGCATGTGCCACCATGCCTGGCTAATAAATACACACACATACGTGTGTGTGTGTGTGTGTGTGTGTGTGTATTTTTTAGTTGTCCGGTTAATTTCTTTCTATTTTCTTAGTAGAGATGAGGTCTTACTCTTGCTCAGGCTGGTCTCAAACTCCTAAGCTCAAACAGTCAGCCTGCCTCGGCCTCCCAGAGTGCTAGGGTTACAGGCATGAGCCATCACGCCTGGCCTTGACCATTTCTTAGTCATTCAAATGTTTCAAAAGCTCCAACTTTCTACAAAGCTTCCAGTCTACTGGGAAAATGAATGTCAAAACTATGGAAGAGGCCGGGCGAGGTGGCTCACGCCTATAATCCTAGCACTCTGGGAGGCCGAGGCGGGTGGATTGCTTAAGGTCAGGCGTTCGAAACCAGCCTGAGCGAGAGCAAGATCCCATCTCTACTATAAATAGAAATTAATTGGCTAACTAATATATATAGAAAAAATTAGCCGGGCATGGTGGTGCATGCCTGTAGTCCCAGCTACTTGGGAGGCTGAGGCAGGAGGATCGCTTGAGCCCAGGAGTTTGAGGTTGCTGTGAGCTAGGCTGACACCACAGCACTCACTCTAGCCTGGGCAACAAAGCGAGACTCTGTCTTTAAAAAAAAAAAAAAAAACTATGGAAGAAAGAATATTGAAAGCATCATAACAGTTGTGCACAGTTTAGTAGAATCTCCAAGAAATCAGAGCTCACTAGTGGCTCTTCCTTCAAGGAATATGTCCTTTGCCTAGCTGAATAGGACAGCAGCAGGGCAAAGATATGGACTGTTAGCTGACAGCTCCTTTGGTACCTCCTCACCTTCATTTCCCAATGGTTGCTTTTCTAAAACTTGAAAATGATATTCCCAAACTTGGGTTTAAGAGCATGTAATTTAGGAAGGGATGCATGTAGGGAGGTTGAGGGGTGGAAGTTGGCAGAAGAATAAAGGATGTTAAAAGATGCCTGGTACCTCTTTCTTGGGTAGTCAAGATAGTATATTCTAATTTATTGATTATAGGGAGGCTGATTGTTAAATCTGATTCTGCCATATTTCTATTTCTAACAGATTGGGATTGATTCAGGCAGTGAACTCATGTTAAATAATTTCCCTTACCACAAACTAATTTGGCTGCCTCTTGAAATTGCTTTTTGATATGTTCCAATGTCTAGTTCTTTTGGAGTTACTTCAAGTAGGAAATTGGTGCTCTTCATCAGTTACAGTATTAAGATTGTTAGAGCTAGGCAGAGCATCTAGTCCAATTTCTTCATTTTGTAGACAGGGGAACCAGCTGAGAGAGGACACTTGCTCAGGGTCACCTGGCAAGGTGGTGAAAAAGAATGGGGCTGCCGTGAATGCTAGACTTTCCTGCCTTGTGTTAGGTTGCAAAACCTCTAAGTTGGGTGGTAGGACTCTATTTCAGATCCATGCCCAGTTTCCAATGAAATGTTTAGAAAAATCAGAGAGTGAAAATTCATGTGTATGGATTTAGATTAGTTACCCCTAGTTTGGATCCATGCAAGTTAAATTAAAAACTGTAGGTTTGTATAATGCAAGTTTTCTTAATCATCTAAGCTATAGGTATTGTTCTTGGTTGTGGAATCTTTGAAACCTGGGCCATTAAAGGGATACTTTTTTCCCCACATCAGTATTAGATTTGGAGCTTAAATTATGGTGACATGCTCTGTCTGTGTTGATAGGTGAGGTCTCATGTCTATAAAGCTAACACCATTTTATTTTTTGTCCTTTTATAAGATCTTATTCAAATTCTTTTTCTAAGGCCAAGTGGTTTATTATAATGAATAAACCTGGTTATTACCTATAAATATAAAGAAAGTTGAAATGTTTAGTAATAAATTAGCATCTGGTTTTTATACTTAGCTAGTACAGTGCCCTCCAGAGAAGAAGCTAAATCAACTTATTTATACTACAGTTCCTACTACCTGCCCATCCAAGGAATGTGGAATGCACAATTGAACAGAATGAGTTGAAAATTCTTTTATCCAAGGTAACTTTCATAGCCATACTTGTTTTCATGCTACACTTACTGCAATGTTGAAATGCAGGAAGCTGACTTACCTGTATTTGTGTATATAAGGCAGGTGAGTAGGAAGAACTTATAAGTGAGCAGTAACCTCTCTGATAGGGATTTTCTCTGTTTGTTAAAGAGGAGTGATACCCCAGGGGGATTAGGTGAACCCAGCTGCTCCTTTACCATTTGCCCAGAGTTTGCAATGCAACGGATACAGAAACAAGATATGAACAAGTAGATGTGAACAAGACAGACTTGCCTGTCTTCATGGAGTCTGCAGGCCAGAGGGGAGATCAGCTGTGAACAGGCAGTTAACAAATACTTATCTAATTTTCAGTTGTGGAAGTCGTAAGAAGAAGTGGAGAGTTTGGGGACAGAGGATCTATCCTAGCCTACCGTGTTTCCCCCAGAATAAGACCTACTCATAAAATAAGCCCTAGCAGGATTGCTAAGCATTTGTGCAATAGAAGCCCTACCCCAAAAATAAGACCTAGTGATGGGCGTGGCTACACAGGGTATCTGCACAACCGGTGCATTTTGTCGCAGAGCTGTATAGAAGAGGAGCAGCCCTTCTCATCTGCCCCATGAGAGCTCTATTGCTGACATGAGAGATTGGGGCCAATGGTTCTGAAGGAAATAGAATCGCAAGAAATTCAGGATGGAATTCAGGGTTTGGAGAGTTATGATGATGTTCCAGAAGAAGACGACTTGACTCTATTTAGATAAATGTAGATTGTTGTACGTACTTTAAAAAAAAAAAAAAAATCCCCCGAAAGTAAGCCCTAGGGTGTCTTCTTGAGGAAAAATAAATATAAGACTCTGTCTTATTTTCAGGGAAACATGGTAGTAAGGTAAAAGGCTTCATGAGAAAGGGACATTTCAAGTCTAACTTAAAAGTTGCACAGAACACAAAGTGCCCACCCAGTGTGTGGCTTTTTTTTTTAATGTTAATTACCATATGAAAAGGGAGTAGGTAAAATTAAAAAGATGGTAAATTTGTAAATATTTGGGATGAGCTCACAGCAGCTCAGTATTAAAGGGCTATTTTTAACCTTGGAAAGTCAAATTAATACACTGGTATTAATTTGAAGCTGCTACTGAAGGTGGCTGAAGTTTTTTTCAGCAGTTGGTTATTAACATTAGATCTGGCCAGGCGTGGTGGTGCCCTTGGCTCACGTCAGTAATCCTAGCACTTTGAGAAGCCAAGTTGGGCGGATCACTTGAACTCAAGAGTTTGAGACCAGCCTGAGCAAGAGCGAGACCCCGTCTCTACTAAAAATAGAAAAAATTAGCTGGACATGGTTGTGCGTATCCCAGCTACTCCAGGAGGCTAAGGCAGGAGGATCGCTTTATCCCAGGAGTTTGAGGATGCTGTGAGCTAGGCTGACGCCACTGCACCGCAGCCCAAGTGGCGAGGAGACTCTTGTCTCAAATAAACCCAAAAACATTACTTCCTACTTTAAATTTTTTTTTTTTTTTGAGACAGAGTCTCGCTTTCTTGCCTAGGCTAGAGTGAGTGCCGTGGCATCAGCCTAGCTCACAGCAACCTCCAACTCCTGGGCTCAAGCGATCCTCCTGCCTCAGCCTCCCGAGTAGCTGGGACTACAGGCACAAGCCACCATGCCCAGCTGATTTTTATATATATATATATTAGTTGGCCAATTAATTTCTTTCTATTTTTATGGTAGAGACGGAGGTCTTGCTCAGGCTGGTTTTGAACTCCTGACCTTGAGCAATCCGCCCGCCTCGGCCTCCCAGAGAGTGCTAGGATTACAGGCGTGAGCCACCGCGCCCGGCCTAAATTTTTTGTTTTTATGAGCCATTCCTTGTTCTAAGTTCCCTCTTGAATTTGGGGATTGGTAGTAGAAATCATTTTAGGGTTCCAGGCCTTGGAAGGCAGACCAGCTGCGAAGGTACTTAGGGAGGTACTTAGCTGTGAAACTGCTGGTGAGCAGGAAGAGGAGACTGTGGAGTCATAACTTGGGTTCAGATCCTGGTTCTGCCATTTATCATCTGTGAAACCATCAAAAAAGGCTTGTGACTTCTTAACTCTTCATTTCCTCAGCTATAAAACAAGAATGCCAGTCTTCAGGGGTTATAGAAATCAGTAACAGTGCGTAAAATGCCTGAATCAGGTGTGCAAATAGTTATTAAGAAAGAGGACAGGCCGGGCGTGGTGGCTCACGCCTGTAATCCTAGCACTCTGGGAGGCCAAGGCAGGCGGATTGCTTGAGGTCAGGAGTTCGAAACCAGCCTGAGCAAGAGTGAGACCCCATCTCTACTATAAATAGGAAGAAATTAATTGGCCAAGTAATACATACAGAAAAAATTAGCCGGGCATGGTGGCACATGCCTGTAGTCCCAGCTACTCGGGAGGCTGAGGCAGGAGGATTGCTTGAGCCCAGGAGTTTGAGGTTGCTGTGAGCTAGGCTGACGCCATGGCACTCACTCTAGCCAGGGCAACAGAGTGAGACTCTGTCTCAAAAAAAAAAAAAAAAAGAAAGAAAGAGGACAAAGTGTTTGTATTTGCCAGAACTGGTTCTCGTTCCTAGGTGACCTGGCTCCTGCTCACTCACATCTCTGCTTCTGTGTTTATGCTTTGCATCCGGCAGTGCTGACTTGAAGGCTCATGCTTACAGACAGGACAGTGTTCACTTAGTCTCTTAGGGGAGGGAAGAATTCATTGCTAGCAGACTTTTTTTTTAAGAGATTTACCATATTAGTGATGGCTTTTTAACCTCTCTGAGGTGGTGAATTACTGTCTATTAGAAGTGAAATTAGATGACCCGTTTTAGTGTTTTCTGTGCCAGTCTGCTTCTCAACATTGGAGCTCCTTTTGGAAGTGTTTCTGTAATATATCTACGATCCAGCTGCTGGTGCCTTACTGGTGTTTTTTCCTTTGTGACACAAAGGAGCTTTGGCTGGAGAGGGTAAACACAAGAAGACTTCACAAGGGCACCACAAGGTTTCAACAGCTGTCGCTCAGGAAAAGAACAACCCAGAAGTGGTGAGACAAGGAAAGAGGAAGACACATCCGTCTTTTCTCTCCTGTACACTCCAGTGAACCACATTCCAGCACAGTTGCCACCAAACCTGCTTGGCGTTCTTTAGGGCACAGTTCTTTCCTTCCTTATGACATGTACAATTTTAAACTTGGGAATTAAAGGATCAGGGTGGAGGGCGCTATTATATTCTATTATCTTGCAAATCGAGATATCCCATTTACCACCTGAGGAATGGATTAGGAGTGCCCCCGCACTGCCGTTGTCATTGTGGTAAGAATGCAATCTTGGATTGCCTAAATCTTTTCCTAGTGATTTTCTGACCAAGTCATACCTGAGGCAGTGCTAACCCTGACATGGTTTGAGGCTAATGCTGTCCCTGACGGCATGCTCTGTGCCCCCTCCCTCCTCACCCTCACTAGTGTTCACTGAAGACCTGTGCTTCATCTACAGTCTTCCTTTCTAACCTAAGCCACACCAGACCCTAGTTGACTTCAGTTACCTCAGCCTCCTTATATTTTGACCTTTGCAACTCCAGTTACCTTCTTGTCCACCTCTTTTCAGCTTCCATGTTATTCCTAGAACAGCACCATACCTGGAATCTTAAACTCCCAATATCCTATCCCCCCAGTTTCTCACACCTTCTTTCCCCTTAACCATTTATTTTGGCCTGAGATCTTCAGTTTTCTAATTTCTGATTTTTTTCTTCCTTCCCCAGACTGGAAGTTCGTGGTGATTACCAGCATCCTCCACTGTGCCTACTGCTTATGTCTGATAGAACCACACCCTTGGATCAACCCACTTCTGTCTCCATATTTCTGAAATTCCTGAGATCTGCTGGTGGAAAAACCACTCACGTATGTAGACTTCTGACATGACTTAATTCCTGGTCTCCAGCGTTAGCTGAGTGCTTAATGTCACTTGAAAATTCTTTTTACTTGTCTTAACTAAACCCTCCCCCCTCCACCATTTGCCCAAAAATTCTCCAAATTACTTTCCTCAACATTTTTTTTTTTTTTTTGAGACAGAGTCTCACTTTGTTGCCCAGGCTAGAGTGAGTGCCGTGACATCAGCCTAGCTCACAGCAACCTCAAACTCCTGGGCTCGAGTGATCCTTCTGCCTCAGCCTCCCAGGTAACTGGGACTACAGGCATGCGCCACCATGCCCGGCTAATTTTTTTATATATATATATCAGTTGGCCAATTAATTTCTTTCTATTTATAGTAGAGACGGGGTCTCGCTCAGGCTGGTTTTGAACTCCTGACCTCGAGCAATCCGCCCGCCTCGGCCTCCCAAGAGCTAGGATTACAGGCGTGAGCCACAGCGCCCGGCCTTTCCTCAACATTTTTACAAATCTACTTGCTTCTGTCTTCCCAGTCCCCTCTGGTAGCCTGATTCCATTGCCTCCCACTTTAAGAAAATTGAAGGGATCAGAATTCATTTCCTCACATGCCAGTTGCACCCATTTTCCTCTGCAAATCAACTAACAGAAAGCCCCTTCCGTTCCCAGGCCATACGGCTGCTCGGGCCAAGCCACATTTCACCTGTGCTCACATACCCCACCTCGCTCCTCAGGGTCCCTCCTTCACTACCTTTCTTCTCTTGGGACCTTGCCATTTTCTCCTTGCTACTGGTTCTTCTCTGTGACATTAAGTCTCTCCTGCCCTTTAAAAAACAGTGCTCTCTTGACCTTGTGTCTTCCTTGAGCCATTGTCCTATTTCATGCCCAGCTAAGCATGCTGAGACCCCCCCCATCTGTGTTTGTAGTCTTTACTTCATCTCTCTAAACCCCAGCTACCGTGTCTCCATCAGCCTGCCAGACATTCTGTCAGCAACCTTGCATCGTGCCCACATACGTGCAGACTTTTTCTAACTTTATTTACTCGTCCCCTCACACTGGACATCACCTGTCACTCCATCCCTGGGCTTCCTGACTTGGCTATCTTAACTACTCTTTCCTCCTTCTCCCTTATCTCGCTGCTTCTGGCCTTTCCTCCTCACCACTCTCCTTGTTCTGCGTGCTCTCCCGGTCCATCCCCTCCATGCTCGGGCTTTACCCTGCCTCCTGCATGCTGAGCATTCTTAAACCTCTGTCTCTAGTCTGGAATATACCCAGAGCTCTAATCCAAGTTCCACTGTTCTCAGTCGCCCTACTCGGTGTCCCACAGGCACCTCAGACTCACCAGGCCTGACTGACTGTACCCTCTCCATCCCTTCTGCTCCAGACCTGCTTCCTCCCCGGCGGTCGTTCTTACCAGTCATATCCAGCTGCTCAGGACCAAAGTTTAGAAATAGCCTTGACTCCTTTTGCTCCCTGATTCTCCACATGTAGCCACCAAATTCTGATGAGTTTACCTCCTAAATACTTCTCAAATCCAGCTTCTCCATTCGTCTTACTACTGTCCTTATACAGGCCCTGGTTTTCCCACCTAAATTTTTGCCAACCAGCTGCTGCTCTACCTGCCTCCAACCCTCCTTTTACCAGGCACTCTTGAATTTTAGTAACATTAACATGTAACCATATCACTCCTCTGATCCAGCTCTTCAGAGGCTATTCAAGGCTTTAGAATAGACCAGCTCGGCAAGGCATTCTCAAGCCTTCTGGCCTAAGGTCCTGTCTCCTACAAAAGGTATATGCACCACGACAGCTCCTACCTTTGTTTTTAGACTGTTCTTTTCCTCTGCCTAAAATAACCTTTCCTACCACCTTCAACTTTATTCTTCTTCCAGATCAGCCCAGTGACATCTCTAGGAAGCTTTCCTTGGAAGAGTATTTTCATAGCACTCTGCCCAAACTGCTTTTGTACTTATAACAACTGTCCATTAATGTTTCTGCTTCTCCACAAAAGCACATGATCTTTGAGGGCAGGGATGGCGTCTCATTTGCCTCTTGTCTCTGGAGGGCAAGCCCAATCTGAACACACGGTGAGCCCCATCTGAACAGAAATACCTGGTGATGCTACTACCTCTGTCTTCCTCCACCACCTATGCCTGTAGAATAGTCCAGAATCCTTAGCTGGGCTTTGAGGAAACGGCATGGCATAGCATAGCAGAAAAAATAGGAGCTTTGCAGTTAGACCTGGATTTTAATATTTATTTCACCATTTACTAGCTAAATGATCTTATAGGAGTTTCTTAACTTTCTGGGCCAATTTCTTCATCTGTAAAATACAAATATTACTGTTCAAGACTGTTGTAAACTTTGATTGAAATAATATGTATAATGTGCCTAGCTTGTAATAGGTGCTAAATAAACTCATCTGTTACTGTTTTTCTCTCTCCTTCCTGCTCTATTCTGACCACACCGCAACCGCCACACAGACACATCCAGCCTCCAGAGCTTTGTTGTTGGTGAATATGTCCTCCCTCTGTCTTCCATCCCTCCATGAAGAGGTGCCTTCCTCATATCCTGCCACCTCACCTCTGTACTGCATCCACATCCTGCCTTGAGGCTTGCTTAGGTCCTCCAGTTAAAAGGAATTTCTTCCCTGGTCTCCTACTTCCCTATCGCATGTGACATTCCTAACTTACTACTCGGTTGTCTTTTATTTTAATTCCTTGTAGATAGTTAACTAGGATGGAAGCTTCTGGGGAACAGGATGTTTCTTCTATATTTTTGTAGCTTTCCATGGTTCTGAGCACTCAGGGCGCCTGGAACATACTAAGTGTTAAGTGTTTGTTTACTTTAACTGGAGGTAGGGGGAGGATAGGAGGGTTGGGGAGGATAGGAAGATACTTCTCCATTGGGCTAAACAGTGTTGTCAGAGTCTGAAAGAAGTCAAACTCTCTGGGAATTCTGAATTTTAGCTTACTTGTCCTTAAGAATTTTTAAAAAATAATTTTTAATATTTCTTTATTCTTTTTATTTATTTTCTTATATTTTTAAAGATTTTATTCTCCCTATGTCTACTTAAGGATTTTTGAGTGATATGAATTTCCACATTACCAAGCAAATAAAATATCTGAAAATTAGACATTCTAGAAAATTCATTTCAAACACAATGAAAAATGATCGATCTTGGAATTAGTTTATAATATGAAGAAAGTGAGGAATATTGCTTTTCCCTAACTACATGAAAATGATGTTTTTGTGTGTGAGTGTGGTTTTTTTTTGAGACAGAGTCTCACTCTGTTACCAGGGCTAGAGTGCCGTGGCATCAGCCTAGTTCACAGCAACCTCCAACTCCTGGGCTCCTGCGATTCTCTTGCTTCAGCCTCCCGGGTAGCTGGGACTATAGGCATGCGCTGCTATGCCCAACTAACATATATATATATATTTTAGTTATGCAGCTAATTACTTTCTATTTAGAAAGTACAGACGGGGTCTTGTTCTTACTCAGGCTGGTCTCGAAGTTCTGAGCTCAAACGATCCGCCTCCCAGAGTGCTATGATTACAAGCACGAGCCACCACTCCCAGCCATGAAAATGATGTATGTTTCTAATTATTTTCTCAAAAGAGTATTCCAAAAAGAGTTAGTGCTAAGGAAATCCTTAAAGTAGACTGTACTTTGGAAAGATAATCTTATTTTGACCAGCTCAGGTGAGGACGACACAATCCTTCATCAGGCCCTCAAAGCAAATGGTATTACAAGTACATTAAATCCTGTTACAACTACCACCACAAAGAGGGAGTCCATATAAAAAGACAATGTCCTGTAGAAATAAACGCCTAATTGATTGATGTATTAATCCAGTAGTTAGCAGGTAACAAAGCTGTGTGTGTTGCATGCAGATGGGGATGTTTTATAGGGCTGCTCACACACATCTCTAGCCATTAAGTAGTAATGTCCCTTGGTGTCTGCACATCCCTTTTTTTCTTCAAACCGTTAAATTCTACATGCACGCTTACTGGATGAGAGAATAGAACTGTTCCACTTCTGGATTCCACCTGGAGTAGGTAGCCATGTCTAACAGTGAGTTTATACTGTCAAAATTCATTACTACTTATCTCTTTCAATGTTCAGAGTTACAAAGTAGACACTGCTAGTTCACATATGTACAGGTGTGGGAGGTTTTTGTTTTTTAAAACATGGTCTCGCTCTGCAACCTCAAACTCCTGGGCTTTCGGGAATCCTCCTTCTTCAACCTCCCAGGTAGCTGGGACTATCACGCCTGGCTAATTTTTCTTTTGTTTTTGTAGAGATGGTATCTCACTTTGTTGCTCAGGCTGGTCTCAAACTCCTGGCCTCAAGCGATCCTCTTGCCTTGGCCTCCCAAAGTGTTAGAATTATAGGTGTGAGCCACTGTGCCCAGTTGTGTAGTTGTTATACATTTCCTCATCCTATATTTGAACTGTTTTCTTTTTAGGGTCAAATTTAGTAACTTACATATTACATAATAAACGTAATGTGTAAATCTTCATCTTATTGGCTGTATCTGTCATGAACCTATTGATGTTGGGGACGTGTCTTGACTGTCATCCAACATATTTTTTCTCCTGTCAGCTTAATAGCAACTAACTCTCCTGTAGCCCTTACCATGTGCCAGGCATTGTTCTAAGCACATACATTGACTCATTCAATTGGCGTGACCCTGGGGTATAGGTACTGTTAACTCAGTTTTACAGTTTAGGAATATTCAGATGTGTAATCAATATACAGTTTATAGGGTGCTTTCTCAACTTTATACTTAGTATAAACTTGAGTTATACATCATAAATGCCTTCTAGAAACAACCTAGGGGAAATGGTTAAGTTCACTCCTACGTGTCACACATATGTGTGTATATGCATTTGCTTAGAGAATGTATGAGGTCCCTGTGGCGGTCACTTCGTTGCCTACCCTACAACTACTCTCTGATAGCCCCTCTTCTTACTTCCTGCTGAAAACTGGTGTGATAGCTAGGACTGTGGCAGCCACCTGATGACCATGAGGAAGAGGCTAAGAGCATGCCAGTCATTGGCCGTGCACTGTCAAGCACGAGCTCACTGCTCCCACTGGGCTGCAGGTGAAAGCCACGGCGCAGGGGTGTTGGCAGCTTGCAGCGGACTCCCCCACTGACACACATCAGACTCCCTGTGGAAATGGGAGCAGGGAGTCAAAGGGGAGTTAATGCTTCTGTCCGGCTAAAGTGTCTTCTCTTGGGAATTTGGTGGTCTATGTGGACTTCATGGAATATTATAAAACCATAGGTTTTATAAATGGTTTTGTTTTTTTTGTTTTTTTGGTTTTTTTTGAGACAGAGTCTCGCTTGTTGCCCAGGCTAGAGTGAGTGCCATGGCGTCAGCCTAGCTCACAGCAACCTCAAACTCCTGGGCTCCAGTGATCCTCCTGCCTCAGCCTCCGAGTAGCTGGGACTACAGGCATGAGCCACCATGCCCGGCTAATTTTTTGTTTTATTTTTAGTTGACTGGCTAATTTTTAGTAGAGATGGTGTCTCGCTCTTGGTCAGGCTGGTCTCAAACTCCTTAGCTCAAGCAGTCCTCCTGCCTTGGCCTCCCAGACTGCTAGGATTACAGGCATGAGCCACTGTACTCGGCCTCTTTTTTTTTTTTTTTTTTTTTTATATTTGTGTGTAATTATTACACATTTAAAAAAATTTTTTTGGGGGGGATGGGCATTTATTGAAACCTTAAAATCTGTACCCCCATAATATGCCAAAATAAAAAAATAAATAAAAAATAAAAAAATTTTTTTTTATCGTAAATACACAACATAAAATTTAACATCTTAACAGTTCAATGTTATTAAGTATATTCATATTTTTGTACAGCCGTCACCACTATCTCCAGAACTCGTTTCATCTTGCAAAAGTGAAACTCTGCCCGTTAAAAAATTACTCCCCATTTTCTCCTCCCTCAGCCTCTGGCAACCACCATTCTACTTTCCATGATTTCGACTACCCGAGGTACCTCATTCATGTAAGTGGAATCATACAGTATTTGTCTTTTTGTGACTGGCTTATTCACTTAGTATAATGCCTTCAGGGTTCATCTGTGTTATAGCATGTGTCAGAATTTCCTTCCTTTTTAAGGCTAAATGATGTTCCATTTATGTAGATACCACATTTGCGTATCCATTTATCCATCAGTGGACACTTGGATCGCATCCATATTTTAGCTGCTGTTAATACTGCTGTGAACATAAGTGTACAAATACACGTGTGTTTTACATTTAGAAAAAAATAAAGTTGTGGAAGCCAAATTATCTATTTTGAATGTGTGCTTTTCTTCCCATCATTTCTCATTTTGTATCAGATCTTTTGGCTACTTTAACCAACTGAAACATTTTCCCACCAGAAAGAAAAATTACAGCTAGTAGTTGGTTTCCCCATTTAAAACTCAATGGTGTAGCGAAGTGGTTAACTGTGTTTTGTGGTTAAGTGAATTCAAGTGCTCTGCCTACTTCCTATTTCCTTCTTTCCCTCATAGCTAAGAAGTTCTTGAACTTCTTTAACTTTTCATGACATATATATTCTCCTCTCACAGTTTTTTGCCTGCTCCATCTCCGAAACCATTCCCAGGAGGGTCACCATGTTCCCAAAGCTCTGGGTGTTCCTTCGTTGGACTGCCTATGTTGTATTGGAATTGTCAGTCTGTTTCCCCCAGTGAACTATACAGGAGACCAAAAAAGCAACTTACTTGGTTCACTAAATATCAAGTGCTGCCACGTGGCAGTCACCCTGCTGGGTACCCAGGGCTCAACTCAACAAGCCGACTGGGTACCAAAACATTCTTCATGGGATCTCTCTTTTTTAAGGTGGGAGGAAGTGGTATTTAGAGTTTACTGACATGGTGGGAGTCATAGCATTTGAATCAAAAGAACTGATGCAGTCCAACCCCTTGATATTGATACCTAAATATGGTCCTCAAGCTGTCTTTTGAACTGCAAGGGCTTTTTTTTTGCTCTCATCCTGGTTGATTTAGTCATCTTGAGTCAGCTCTTTGGCACTTATCTTCCGCTACTCAAAAGCTTCCATTGGTTGCAGTAAGCGACAATCATACCACTGCACTCTGGTCTAGGCTACAGAATGAGACCCTCTCTCTAAAAAAAACTTCATCAGCCACAACCCCTCTGCAAGATGCCTTTATTGCACTCACACGATGTTGCCTACCATGTCCCAAATGGGCCTCGTCCTTCCTTGCCTTCTGCCTGGAAGGTCTTCCTTCCCGTGCTCTGCCTCCGGACACGTGATCCTTCAGCCTTTGCCTCAAATGCCACTTCCTAGCCCAGCATAAGCCCTCCCTCTTTTGAGCAGCCACAGTCCTCGGATCAGTATGGTATTTGTGTTTCAGCCTTAGGGTTTTAGAAATTTTTATTTTATTTTTTGGAGGCAGCCTCGCTCTGTTGCTCTGGCTAGAGTGCAGTGGCATCATCATAGCTCAATGCAGCCTCCAACTCCTGGGCTTGAGCGATCCTCCTCCCTGCGAGGCAAGTAAGAGAATAAAGAATGAGAGATGAGCCGGTGGCTCACGCCTGTAATCCTAGCACTTTGGGAGGCCGAGGCGGGCGGATTGTTCGAGGTCAGGAGTTCAGAACCAGCCTGAGCAAGAGTGAGACCCCATCTCTACTATAAATAGAAAGAAATTAATTGGCCAACTAATTATATAGAAAAAATTAGCCAGGCATAGTGGCGCATGCCTGTAGTCCCAGCTACTTGGGAGGCTGAGGCAGAAGGATTACTTGAGCCCAAGAGTTTGAGGTTCCTGTGAGCAAGGCTGACGCCATGGCACTCACTCTAGCCTGGGCGACAAAGTGACACTCTTTGTCTCAAAAAAAAAAAAAGAATGAGAGATGAAACTTATCTACTGACCTCCCAGCAAGTGTGTGCAGCAGAGTTCACCACTCCAAGCTAGGCGGGATGTGGCAGGCCATGTCTGTGTCACTAGGAATCGGACTGAGGAATGCACCAAGGCTGGTTACAGGGCACATCCGCGCTCTGGGCAAAGCTGTGGAGACTGCTTCCAGAAGCATGATATAGCCTTGACAGTGAACTAAACAGTTTTTATTTACAAGAGAAAGAACCAAATCACTCCTCGAGTCCCTCACTATCTTTATTTGCTTGCAGCTGCATCGCCTGCTAGTTCCTTGCATGCCTGTTCGTCTCTGCCCCCGGCCTCCCTTCCTCCTCTGTCGTCTCTCCCAGGCTCTTCCTTTCTTCCCCATGGTTTCTCATCTTCTCTTCCTATCTGTTTTCCTCACTTCCCTCCCTTTTTAACAGTCACTGTATGTATCTCACCTTTGTTCTGTTTATTGGCCATGGCTTTATGTGTTACCAGTAGTAGATGAGTTGTGCTTTGGTGCTTTTTTTTTTTTTGGTAGAAAAATTCCAGCCTGAATTATATTTCATTCCCTGGGCTTTAATTGATTTTTGTCCCCGTGGATCAAAGAGCTGGAGAGACACTCCTCAACCCTATGCACTACAGGGCTTTTCCAACCCTGAGCCGCTGGCGCACCTCATGGGCCTCACTGAACTCATGGGCCTCACTGAACCCCGCCCTCACGCTCTGTCTTCTTTCTGCCACCTCCCTAACACCCCCCAAACCAGAGACCCAGGCGTCGGCCTTCATGCCTGCTCCTACGCCACGGACAAGTCGAGTCAGGTCTTTCTGAAAGGTTTCTCCCCTTCCTGGGCGCTGGGAGGAGGATGGGCTGGGCCTTCTCTCTTGCAGCTCCTCTGTCTGCAGAGACTGGAAAGGTAAAAACTGTTTCCCAGCCTCTCTGGTGACTGCTTCCTTCAATCAGATGCCCAATTTTGGAAGGCTGAAGTAAGGCAGATTAATGCACTCTACACAGTATTTTGTTTCCTGGCAAGCAAGTTCACAGACATGTAACATGTTCCATGTCTGTGCCTGGGTTTTCTGGGCACCAGGGGGCAGTTCCTGCGCAGTGGTCGCAAGGTCTGAGCCCTGGTCACCGCGCAGCTGCACATTCTTGAACTCAGCAGTGCCAGTGCCGCCTGATCTCCACCTTCCTGGCTTGGACTCTTTTTGGTGGGTCAGCCATTCCTGGATCCCCAGCCCGTTGTTTTCGGCCATCCAGTAAGCTCTTAATTCCCCGTATTAACCCCTGTCAGTTTAAAACGCCGAGAGTAGCTTCCTACTCCTGCGACTTAGAGCTGCACACCAAGTCCCCGTGGCTTCCCTGCAGCCTCCCAGCTTCCTCTCGTGACTCACCCCCCACAGCCCACCGTGTCTTAAAGACAAATCCAGGCCTAACGCAGTGGCTCACGCCTGTAATCCTAGCACTCTGGGAGGCCGAGGTGGGAGGATCACTTGAGCTTGAGTCTGAGACCAGCGTGAGCAAGAGTGAGACCCTGTCTCTACCAAAAATAGAAGTTAATTGGACAGCTAAACATATATAGAAAAAATTAGCCGGGCATGGTGGCGCATGTTTGTAGTCCCAGCTACTCGGGAGGCCGAGGCAGGAGGATCTCTTGAGCCCAGGAGTTTGAGGTTGCTGTTAGCTAGGCACTCTAGCCCAGGCAGCAAAGTAAGACTCTTGTCTCTAAAAAAAAGAGACAAATCCAATCATGGAACTCCCTTGCTGAGAACCCTTCAAAAGACATGTTTTACTGAGAAGAAAATACAAACCCTTTCTCAAGGCTTAAGGCGCTGCATGACCCTCCCCTACCTGCTCCAGCTCTTGTGCCCCCACCCCCACCCCGTATGCCCTGCTCCCCACCTGCATGGGCCAGTTTTGTGTCCTCAAACATACCAAGCCCCTCCCAGTTGCCTAGAATACTTCCCTTGCTGTCCTGTTTCCTTACTCTGCAGTTCCTTTTCTCACTTGGGGTCTCAGCTTAAACATCACCACTGCAAAGAGCCTTCCCTCATCCCCAGAATAGCAGCTTCACCTCCCCATTATTCCTCCTCCCTGCACCCTGCCTCTTTTCACAGTGTCTCAGTTTGTAGTTATGTACTGCTTTGGGTGCTTAGTTTCTCTCCGCATTGTTGGTTGCCACTTGATCCCCGGGCCTCCCACAAAGAGCTGCTCAATCACTGCTCCCCAAGTGAGAGCCTAAAGGGTCAGCAGCTTAGGCCACGCCCAGTCAACAGGAGCATTTTTGGCTGCGGTTGTTAGCAAACAGCTAATAATATCCCAAGCCTTACACAGAGAGGTGCTCAATGTCTCAACTGGATCAAAAGTCAAGTCCCCCTTGGGGGCCTCCATCTTTCCAATTCCCAATGCACAAGGACCCTGAGTGTCAGGGAGGGGAGTAGGTCTAACTTGCATTGCCACTTGCTGCTGTAAATTCAACCTGCAATTTACACATTGCACATGCCTGGGATTCTTTTAGGCTGGCAGCCCCCTGCCTTAAACCAAGTTCCTGGCTGGTTTTACAAGGCCGGAATCCCACAGACAACCTGTTCCATCCAGGAACTGGGAAACGGCTTCCCAGGGCGGGGCCTGGGTCATGGATGTAACTCTCTGTCCTAGCAGAGCAGATTTATAGTCCTACCTCAGGGGCAAAGAAACAACTCAGCCTTAAAGGAGGCTGGAATCTAAATCAGCTTAAAAGTTGTGAAAGCAGCAAGTGCTGATTCTGGAGTGGGCCGACTGTCTCAGAAGCTCTTTGGTAAGGAGAGAGCCGTCTGGATGTGTGGAAGAGGCCAGCAGGGCAGACGTGAGGGACCCAACTTCCTGGGGGCGACTACTGGGGAGTTGCTTCCAGTGTTGGCTCTCTCGTATCTGCCTTTAAAATGACCTTTAAGTTAGCTAAAAAGACCTGGAGTTAACTAGGACAAAGACTGAATTAAGAAAAGGAAATTGACACCACAAACAGAGGAGAATAGGAGCCCGGCAGCCTGGGTTTGTATTTGCTCTTGAACTCTCATGGCTTTGGGCCCTGCGCCTGGAGCCTGAGTTGGCTCTACCTTCTAAGGAGTTGGAGCCCTGGGTCTGGTGGGGCTTTGATATTGTTTTAGTGGGATGTTATTATAAATGATTTTTATTATTTCATTTTCTAACAGTTACAGCTAGAATTTTAAAATGCAGCCTCCCTGCTACTTGGGAGGCTGAGGCAGGAGGATCTTTTGAGCCCAGGAATTGGAGGCTGCAGTGAGCTACGATGACACCGCTGCACTCCAGCCTGGGTGACAGATTGAAACCCCATCTCTAAAAGCAACTAAATAAAGTAAAAGTTAAAATACAGTAGTGGTTTTTTTACTTTTATTTTTTTAAGAGACTCTGTCACCCAACCTGGAGTCCAGTGGTGCTGTCATAGCTCACTGCAGCCTCCAACCCCTGGAGGTAGCGATCCTCCTACCTCAGCCTCCCAAGTAGCTGGAACTGCAGGCATGTGCCACCAGGCCCAGCTAATTTTTTTATTTTTTGTAGAGATGTGGTCTCTGTTGCCTAGGCTGATTTTGAACTCTTGGCCTTAAGCGATCCTCCTGCCTTGGCCTCCTGAAGTGCCAGGATCACAGGCATGAGCCACTGCACCTGGCCTGCATATTGATTTTTATATCTAGCAACCTTGTTAAACTCGCATATTCTATAACTTACCTGTTCACTCTTTGACTTTTGTATCAGCTCTAAATAATGACAGTTTTATTTTTTCCTTTCAAATCTTTAGACCCTTTTTTTTTTCTTGTACCTGGCCAGGTACAATTTGAACCATACTGGAAGTGGTGACAGTAGGAATCCTTGTCGTGATTCCATTCTCACAGGGAAGGCTTTCGACATTCCACCACTACACATGATGTTTGTCGGGGGGTTTGCAGGTACTCTTTGTCAGGGCAAGGAAGTCTCCCTGCATTCTTAGGTTGCTAAGAGTTTCCATGCGAATGGATCCTAAATTTTATCGCAAGCATAGAGAAAACGGTAGGACTTCTTTTTTCTGATAAAATGACAGGTTATGCTGAGTTTTGCAATGCTGACTGGATCCTGCACACCTGAGGGAAAGCAGCTTGACTGTGCTGTATTGTGCTCTGCATGTTTTGCCAGGTCCAGTTTGTTACTTGTAGGACTTTGTGTGTGTTTTTCACGAAGGAGATTGCTCTGTGCTTTCTCCCATTTCCCTTAACAGGTGATCACGGATCTGATTAGGATACGACTGCCTCACAGAGGGCGTTGGATGGCTCCTTCTACGGTCTCAGTTTGTGTAAGAGTGGAACTCTTTGTTCCATAAATGCACATTAAAATTCACAGGTGAAACCATCTGGGCCTGGAGGTTGCTCTGTGGGAAGGTTGGCTGATCAACTTGCTCTTTCATAAATCTCCTTCCTCCCCTCCCACCCTCCTGGACCAAACCACCACACAGCTGGGCCATCGTGGCGCCCTAAAGGGTCACTGCCTCCGACCTCCTCCCCAGTTCTTCTTCCTGAAACTCCTCCTTGATCCTAGCTCTCTCCTGCTTCAGAACACCCACTGCTGCCCCTAGATAAAATCTAGATCTACTGCCAGGTGCTTAAGGCCCTCAGCTCTGTCCAGACCACCTGTCTGTCCTTCCCTTCCGTGCCCTGCTGAGCTGGAGGCACACTGGGCCTCTTGCGTCAGCTTCGGTCCAT